GTGGGGGACCAATGCCTATTGTTTATCATTCTACAGCTATTCTGTTATTGGCATAATTGGTGTTTTCCCCTGTAATGGCCCTTAGTATCCTCAGTGCTGATGAAAGACAAGATCTTCCAAATGGAATCTACTACCCTAGGACTGAGAATCATTGTGCCAGTATGCTTTGTGTTGTTGCATCTAATCTGAGATTGAGGTTGGTGACTGTGAATTTTAGTATGTTACTGTCAATCACAGGAGCTTATCCAATTCTTATTTGGTCTGGAATTGGAAATTCTTGAATAATGTGACAGTCAAGCATAGGCTAGTCTTAAAGTCAGAGGGTGTTTTAATCATCATAATCAGATTTTAAAGCAAGATTGCTATAGTATTTACTCATGCTGAAGAATTCCATCTTTTAGCAAAAGTCAATGTTTTGAACGGCTCTGGAACCCTTGCAGGAGGTATTTATTGTTAAAATGAAGCATTCGATTAGGAACTACAGAGTGAAAAAAGGGAAGAGAAAGTTTATAAATCTCTTTGCTTATAACGTTTCTGTAAAAACAAATAGAATACGACAAGATGATCAAGCATAAATTCATATAAGATGCTGTAGAACACACTCAGCTACATCGAATGCTTGGTACATTGAGAATAATTCTGTTTCTTGTAAACTAAATTGCAAAAAGTTGGATAAAAAAATCAATGGACTATTATTTATGTTCCATTTAATCTAGGTGCTTTAATAATGTCTATCTGGCCAAATACTGTATTGATTTCTCATTGCTGTGGGATTCACTTAACCTCAAATAAAACTAAACAAAACTAAACCCAAATAGCCTCCTCTCTCTTGCAGCTGCTGATCTTTACAGTGGGGAAGAGCACACTAAATTCGGGCCACTGAGGCAGGAAGAAGAAGGGATGTAGGAGCCTGGGTTTTCTGTGTGCTTTCAACTAACAAAACACTTATAGAAAGGCTAGCTTGAAAACTGACTACATTTTCAAATCTTCACAAGCAAGGTACCCAATAAATGGGCCACAAGGCTGCAAAGAAATCTAGCAGAAGAACTTGCTTCAGATACAATTGAAAGTCCCAGTTTCTGATTTCTCCATTTAAATCTTAACTGTAACTCACATGTCAGTGGAACAGTTTTGCAGATGAAGACATTGAGTGTTCAGCGAGGTTAAAGTACATGCTGAAGGTCACAGAGCTCCCAATGAGCACAACTGGAATTCCTACCTTGGTGTGTCAACCTATATATTTTCTTTCTTGTTCTTTTGACACATGACCCATGCAATAAATAGAATCACTGTATGTCTAAAATACATTATTACGAGATAATTCATAATTTCGATTAATATTTGTGGCATAAATTTTTGTCTGTGAAATGAAGGAACTGATCCAGATTACCCACTATTTATTATACAATTTTATGGTTTGGTAGTATTGGTTTTGAAAAAGTTGAGGTTACCTCTCTCAATCCATGAGCTAAGTTTCGTTTGAAGATGAATTTTTATCTTTTGTGTTTGATATTTTAAGATTTTTTTTGAGTCAATGTTAAAACAAACAGCAGGAGAGTTTATATAAAAATCTGACTTCTAGTTTCTCTCAAAGACTCAGCAGATCTGGCAACAGGGTCTGTATTCCTAAAAGGTAACCACCAATTAGTTCTAAGTAGCAACTGTTCGCTTCAGATGTTGCCTACAACTCTCCTTTATCCTATAGTCCCTGCCAATCCCTACTGTCTTCTCCACACTGAAGCCGAATGTCCAGCTTATACCAATTTCTTCTTTCTCTTGCTCTCATGTCTAGAAGCTCCCCTAACTTGCACTGTTACCTTGTCCCCGTGGGCATATTGAGGTGGCTTTCCTGATGCAGAGAGCAGTAAAAGGAGAAAGACTATTCCAGTGTCATTTCCCTAATGACATTAATCAGCTCTGTGATGTTGGGCTAGCCTATTGATGACTGTGAACCTCAGTTTCCTCTTTTGTACTTGGGAAAGACGAATGGTTTGGGGAAGATGAAATAAAATAGTCCATGAGATCATACTCAGTAGATGTTACCCAACTCTAAAACACTCTTTAAAAATTTTTCTTAAGGAAGTATTGGCCCTACCACCATCCACAGAGGATGCTATAGTTAGCAATGAGCCTACTGCCTCTCGTATCCATCACATAGTTAATCTTTTCCCATTGCTTATATCTTCTCCTAGCTTTCCTCTCTCTTTAGCCATGGGATTTTAAGTGTGCTTTCCAAACTTTTCCAATATTCCTTGATTCCACAGCAACATAATACAACCTGGAGCATGTGAGCAGGAAACAGAAAAAGTTTACCACCCCCCGCATGCTGAGCTGCTCAGGGGGCCTCCCTCTCCCGCTGACAACAGAGGGCTCACCCTTTCTAATCTTCTGGATCTTTCCATTATTAAGGCCATGCTGCTTCAAGATCCTGCAATAGTTAATAAAATGACATGGCCCATCAGAGCTGAATAACCTTTTCCTTGACTTAAGTAGCTAATTAATTATGGTAAGAACTCTGAACATGAGATCTATGCTCTTAACAATTTTCATAGCACGATAACAGTATGCTCATTATAAACACAGTATTGGACTGAGGACCCCCAAGAACTTACGCACCTCGTGTAATTGAACCTTATACCATCTGAATGGCGACTTCCAGTTTCTCCCTCTCCCCAGCCCCTAGACAGCACCAGCTACTCCTTTCCAATGAGTTTGCTGCTTTTGAGACCTCGTGGAAGTGGAACTAAACTGTATTTGTCCTTGTGTGATTGGCTGGTTCCACTTAGTGTAATATCCTCCTGCTCATCCCCGTGGGCTCCTAAGGCAAGCCTTCCAGAATTCTGGGCAAGGATGAACAGTACTCCTCCGGACACGCCTACCACTTCTTCTCCATCCGTTCATTCATCAACGGACTTTTAGGCTGATTCTACATTTTGGCGATTGTGCATAATGCTGAACGTAGGTCTGCCAACACCCTTAGAGAGCTGGCTCTTGATTTTTTAGATGGAGATGCAGAAGTGGGACAGCTGGATCACAGGATGGCTCTATTTTTAATTTTTTGAGGAACCTCCATGCTGTTTTCCATAGCAACTGCATTATTTTAGATTCCCACCCGAAGTGTACAAGTGTGTTCCAATTTTTCCA